TTTTGCCAATTATTATTTTATTTTATCACATATAAATATATAAATAATATCATAAATCAATTAATTTTTTAAGTTAATTAGCTTCAATTGTAAAATTCTATATAATAATATAAACTGATTTTTTACTTGTAACTTTATATAATTATAAATAAATAAAATACTGAATTTTATTGATAAATAATTATTATTGAATAAGTTTTACTAAAAGCATTATTTTGTAATTATATAAAAAAAAAGTGCTAAAATAAATGTATTTTTTATGTTAATTAGCTCTGATTGAAAAATTCTATATAATAATATAAGCTGATTTTTTACTTATAACTTTATATTAATATAAAAAAATATAATACTAAATTTTATTTTAAGTTTTACTAAAAGCAAGATTTTGTAATTACATAAAAAAAAATGTAAAATCAATGTATTTTTTATATTAATTGTTTTTGATTAAATATTTTACATATAATATATACTAAAATTATACATATAATTTCATAATATAAAGCATAATAAAAGTATTAATTTTTATAAAATAGATTTATTATTAGTAATAATGTTTATAATTTAAAAATGATTAAAATTTAAAATTTATTAAATCTAATTTAAATTCTATCATAATTTAACTATTTTTAATACATTATATTATATTGATTTTTTATATTATATTCTATTTTTTCTAATATACTTTCTATACTTTCATTATCATTATTATTATTTTCATCTAAATCATTATTTTTATCTTTAAATAAAGAAATTTTATTTTCTTTTAAAAGTGTAAATAATCTCTTATTTAAACTTTTAATATTATTTTTTTATTTCAAATGAAATGTAATTAAAACAATAAGAATACTTATCATTAAATAAAGTATTAAAACATTCTTATAAAATCTATGTTTACAAATTAAGATAATTCTATTAAATAATTCTATATAATTAGTAATAAGTAACTATCTGTATTATAAAATTTATTATAAGCAGGATTTTTGTATATTTCAAGTTAAAAGAAGTACCTTTATATTTACTTCTATATTAAAACTTAGAAGAAAAAAATTTTAGATATTTATCATTATTAATTTACTTTATATTTTCTAAATTTTAATAAACCTTATCTAATATTAATAATAGAAATAATAAACTTTTTTCTCTAAAGATTTTAATTTATTATTTAAGATTTAGCTAGATTTCTTAAATTAATAAATGAATTTTCAAAAGAAGAGTTATTATTTTTTTCAATATTAATAATTTTTGCTTTTAAATAATTTGTGATTCTGAATTAGATTCTGCTGTTTGATATCTTAAAGAATTATAAAAATTTTCAACAAAATAATCATTAAAAATTGGCAAATTATATTCTAAAATATCAATTATTAGATGTTTTTTAATGTCTAATAAAACACATTATTTAAAAATATAAGTAATGTTTTATTATAATTATATCTTCTTAATCTTTAAAATAATATCCAAATTTTTATAACACTTTCTAAATATCCTTCAAAATATCTACTTTTAAAAAGTATTGTATATATATTTAAAGTAAGTAGAATAGAATTATTTAATAAATTAATTAATATTAGATATTTTACATCTTTAGTATTTTAAATCTTTTATAACAATATTATGAATATTTTCCTATTTATAATAAGTTAAATATAATATAAGATTAATTACTGTTTGTTTTAACTTTTGAAATAAAATTTTCTTATTTTCAAATAAATTATAATATAATATTTTAAAAAAAGAAATAATATATTTAAAATAAGGTTTCTCTATTATTTAAAGAAATATAAAGAGGACCAATCATAGGAATTAAATTTAATACTTTTTCTGAAATTTCAGAAGTAATTTCTTTTTTAATTCTTAATGTTATATAGTAGCTCTTCTTATATATACTTGTCTAGACTAATTATCAATTACAGAAATAATAAATTTATTTAAATAATTATTTTCTCCAATATTTTCTATTCTTTCAAATACTTTAAATACTAAATTTACATTTAATATAATCTTTAATACTATGTAATAAATATAAAATAAAGTCAACTAATTTACTATTAGACATTAATTTTAATTCATAATAATTTTAAATTCTACCATCATAATTATGAATATTAAATTGTTCTACTTTATTTTAAATATTTCTTCAATTAAATATTGTTTTCATAATTCTTTTCTTTCAAAATAATTTTTCTTAATTGATTTATAAAATTATTATTAATGTTATTAATAACTAATTCAGAATCAATTTCTTTAAAATTATATACTAAAATATTATCTAAAGAATATAATGGTATCCTTAGTATTTTAGAATTTATATTTAATAATATTATTGTAAAATGATAAATATTATATGTTTGAATTAATATTAGTTAATTATGTCTATAAATATTATAATAATTATCTATATTAAAAATAAATATATTTTTAATATTTTATAAATAATAATCATCAACTGTTTGTTAATGTTTATTTGAAGTAATATTTTTTTGTTGATTTACAGTTTTTTTGTTACTGAAATTCCAATATTTGCTAATGTATTTATAGAAGAAGAAGAAGTTTTAAAAGTTTGTAAATATGATCCAATATCTACTTTAATACTATTTACATATTTATTATTAATACTAGCTAAAAAATAATATAAAAAAAACTAATTTTTTTTTATTATTTTTATTTGTTTTATCATTTTTAGTATCAGGATTAGTTCCAATAAATAATTCATTAAAAAATCTAATTAAATCTTTATCTGCATTTTTTAATATAGTTGTAAAAGCTATTGGATTATAAATAGGTTTTAAATTTAATTTATATTAATTATTATAAAGAATATTTGACATTTTAATTATTTTACTACTTAAATTAATTTTATTTAAAATTGTTAATTGTGCTATAATTTCTTGATAATCTGATTTTAATTGCTTTAATTTTCTTCAATATATAAAATATCTTTTTTAAATGAGTAACTATGATTTCCTATTTTTAATATATTATTATTATTATTATTATTTCTAGTAATTAGTACTTTATATTCTTTAGCTTCTAAATATTCTAGTTTTTTATCAGTTTTTTTTCTATACAAACTATAAATTATTGCTAATTTATTTAATTCTAATAATTCAATTAATATTTTTGGAATTTTAATAAGATTCTTATTCACTTAAATAAATTTTATTTTGGATGTTAACAAGTATTTTTATATTTATTATCATCTATTAATTCATTTTTGTAAATTATCATAATTATTTTTTTTAATTATTGATACTTAATATTTTTATGTTATAAATATTTTAAATTATTATTAGTTTTTTTTTTTTTACAGATATTACAAATTATTGTATCTTCATTTAATTCTAATACTTCAATTAATCTTTTTAGAATTTTAAATAAATTTGTTGATTTTGCTTTATAAATATTATATTTTGAATGTTAATAACTTTTAATTTTTGATACTTTATTTAATATTAATTAATTATAATAAGTTTAATAAAGTAATATATTAATAATTACAATATTTTTATTTATTTCTGAAATGTCTATTTTATTTAAAATTTTTTCTAATTCTTCCTTTACATATATTATTTATGAAAAAATTACAGTTATTGATATATATTGATGACATTTTTTGAATATTTGAAATAAAGTTTAAAAGTTAAAAATTAAATTTTAATAAAGATGCAAAATAAATTTTTATAATAAATATTACCTTTTTATTTAAAATTTAAATTAAATTAATATATATATATAATTTTATTATGATACATTTATATTATATTCTACATAATCTAATATATCAAATATAATAATTAGTCTAATTTTAACCTAAACCTTTAAAGTTTAAATTATTAATATTTATAATAATATGAGGCCTTTGCAATAGAAAGGGAGGAAACTCAAAAAAAAATAAAAATGAGTTAATAATAAATCTGAACAAATTATAGTATTTAGAATATTTTTGGCTTATAAACTAAAATTTTAATTTTTTTGGAATTTCCTCCCTTTCTATTGCAAAGACCCCATATATGATTTATATATAAAATGTTCAAAAAGTTAATTTAAAACTAACTTTTGTGTTATTTAAATTTTTATCATAATACTTTTATATTATATTCTATATAATCTAATATATTAAATATAATAATTAGTATAATTTGGTCATACATTTGTAGCTTTTTCCAAATCTTAAAATTCTAAATTATTAATATTTATAATAATATATGATCTTATATAAAATATTCAAAAATTTGGCTTAAAGCTAACTTTTGTGTTATTTAAAATTTTATTGTAATACTTTTATATTATATTCTATATAACCTAAAATATCAAAAATAATGATTAGTATAGTTTAACAATGTATTTATAACTTTAACTAAAACTTAGAAGTCTTAATTATTAATATTTATAATAACATATGATTTATATATGAAATATTCTAAAAGTTGACTCAAAGCTAACTCTTGTGTTATTTAAAATTTTATTGTAACACTTTTATATTATATTCTATATAACTTAAAATATTAAATATTATGATTAATATAGTTTAGTCATGCATTTATGGCTTTGCCCAGATTTTAGAAATTTAAAAAATTTAATTTATTTATTTCAGCCTTAAGCTAACTTATTTATAACACCTAATCTTTAATTTACTGTATTAAAATCACATTTTACATAATTTAAATATTGATTTTATTGATTTTAAGGTTCATCTGATTATATGCTATATTGTCTAAAGCTTTTAATTTAGGATCAGCTGATTTTATATAATGTGATAATTCATTTATATGTGATTGATAAATGATCAATAAGGTGATATAAGCAATTTTGCTATGCTATCATCAGTATTATTAATTGGACTAATTAAACAATTAGACTAATTGAACTTTTGAACAATTAGATATAGTTCAATTAATCCAATTAAATAATTGGATAATTGGATTTAATTCAATTGTCAAATATTTTATCAACCAATAAAAATATAAAAAATAAATCACATGATATATATAAAATACTAATTAATTATTTCTTATTACAAAACTTTCTAAATAATTGGAAAATTCTAAATTATTTACAAATATATTACATAAATTCCATTTTGCTTGTATATTATTTATAAGATATACTATTTGAGAAATATTAGTTACAATAATATCAAAGTTTTCATTTACATTTGTTTTTTTTATTTCTAAATCTTGAACTTCATCTTCAATAAGTTCAATCCAATTTACAATCATATTTTGCCAATCATTAGTTATTTTATTACCTAAAGTTTTATATTCTTCATCATTTTCTATTTCATTATTTGATACATTAAGTGATAAAATAATATCTTCATTAAATATTTGAATATTATCATCAGTATTTCTGATAGTAGAAAGACTAGAAATCATTTTTTTATATTATTGTGCTTTTTTATCAATTTGTAAAAACTGCTCATCATATTGCATTTGAGCTTTAATTTGAGTCATTCCTAAAACCTTTTCTACCTATTAAAATATAATTAATTAATTAATTTATTAAATTAAAAAAAAAATAAATAAAAACAAAAATAAAAAATAAACTTATAAATTATAAATTATTACCTTTAATCTATTTCTTCTTTTAGAATGATACCAACCCATAGTAGAAAATAATCATTTTAAAGAAGCAGTTAAAACTGTAATTGAAAAAATACGTTGCCTAACTTTATATAATTCTTTTGAATATCCTTATATATAATTCTAATATCCTAACACATTATCTTTAAATTGCTTTGCAACTGCATCAGTATATGGATATTTTTTTGTATGATAATCTTCTAATTCAGACAATAAAATAGTAGGATCTTCTTAAAACCAAGTAAAATAGTAGTAAATTATCTATTTACCCAAATGAATAAAAGATAAATTTGATATATTTGAATTAAATTTTGAATCATAATATAATGGATAAAGTAAAAATGCTAATAGAAAAAATAGTTATTCCTATTATTTTCATTGATTTTCAAGTTTTTTCAAAAGAATATTACCCAAAACTTGATTATTAAAACTTTTTAAAATCTTTACTATACTTCCAAATCCATAAAGCACCTCATATAATCATGTATTATATCTTTGAATTTTATTTAATGCTGAACAATATGAAATTAAAAGCTCTTCTATTCTCATAACTTGATATCACCAATTATTATTAAGAATACGATCAAGATTAGCATTCCTAATGAGTTGAGTCGAATCGAGTTTTGAGTCAAAATTATCCTACATACCTTTAATTTAAAGTACTTATTTATTATGTGTAACAAAAATTTACAATTATGCACAATCATGCGAGTTAAATATGCGAGTTTATGCGAGCCATTTTTGGAACTCTAATCAAGATACTTGTTTGGAAAATCATATTCATCTAAAATTATTTTTTCTTCAATTTTAGTAGCTAAATTCTAATAAATAAAAAAATTTAATTTCAAAATTAATAAATAATAAATTAATAATTAATTTAAACTTACTTATAAAATATCCTTTGTTTTTAATAAACTAGCAAAGTAATAGTAATAAGAATTCCATCAAGTTGTAGCAGGAAAAACTAAAGAAATTTGTATTTTATATGTATTTATTTGTTCAGTTTGAAGATGTCTAAGTCAAACTTTTAAACAATTAAAAAATATAATAATTCCAATTGCCTCTTCTGCAATATTACTTAAACTTGATAATTTCTTAAATATATCTTCTATATATAAATTCATTTGATATGCAAAGCAAGATAGAAATAATTTATTACGAAACTTAAGATACAATCATTTTCTAATTAATTAAAATAGTATTAAATTAGTTAAGTTAGTTAAATTAATACATTATAATAATTTAAAATTAATAAAATAATTATTTTACTGCAGTATTTTCTGATTCTGAATCTGTAATAAGCCTATTTATTTATATATTTTGTTATTCTAATTCTTCAAAAGCTTTTATAGTTTTATTATAAATAATTTCTCATGTATATCATTTGCTACTTATATTTTCTACTTTCCAAATAATCATATTATTTTATGATATAAATAGTACTGAGCCTAACAAATTTTGTTTTGAAACATTTTTCCAACTATCAAATGCTAACATTATACCTAATTTATCATCTACTGCTTCTTTAATAATATTCTCTGTTATTTTACTAGTGTTTTTATTAAGAATACAACTACTTAATTGCCTTCAATTTGGTAAAGAAAGCATAGAGTTAATCTACTTAAATAAAGACTTTGTTGCTGAATTTTCAATTCAACTAAATAGTAAGTCATATGCTACTGTCACATTTAATATTAAATGTTTAAACATATCAACTTGTTCTAGTTTTAATTCATGATATATATAATTATTAAGTGGATCAAACTCTAATATGATATATTGAAAACTTCACTTATATTACTTCTTGTCATAGTAGATAAAGATTTATAAAAAAAGTTATTAAGATTAGAGATTTCAGACTTGTTAAATTCTTCTTTTTTATTATCAGATTTTTCATTTATATATCGTCACTTATTTTTTTTTAGACCTATAATCTAATGCTTCATTAATGATACTTGTAATTTCTTCTTTGGTATACTTTTCAGTAAAATATGGGCAACTTTCAAGATGTTTTACACATGCATGTTTCGTATTTGTAAATTTTTTTTTGAGCTTTTTCAAGTCTTAATACTCAAATACAATTTATACAAATAGCATAATTATTCCACTTATTTGATTTTTCATCTAAAATCAAAAAATATCCACTAAGCTTATGTTTTTCCTGTATTTTCTAATTAACTTTAAAGAGTTAGTTTTATATAATATAAAAAAAATGTGAAAGAATTTTATTAATATTTACCTTAAATTTAAGCAGAAAAAAAATCCACATATTAACAAATACCAAAATTTAAAATAAAATCCCAAGGTAAAAAAAATATCGATCAAAAAATAAAAAAAAAATTTTGATTATATAGGTCATAGACTAGCAAAATGTACTTCTAGAACTCCCTATCAAAAAAAATTTTTTTTGATAAACATAAACTAGACATATTCAATTATACAAAATTTGATTTTTTAAGTTATACAAGTATAATAAATTATTGATTTATTTTGATTGAAATTTTTGTCACTTAAAAATATTAACCAATCTAAAATTAGAATATTTATATTTAAGGAAACGATCAAGATGATCATCAGCTAGTCTGAAAATTTACTTGGTAAATTCACAAATAATACATTTTAAGCGTCCTGATCTTTCTTTTTCAATTTCTATCCGTTTAATTTTAAATTTCACATACTTGTCATTCAGACTTTGAACTAATATAATCTAAGATTTGATGCAATTTCATCATGTGCACACGCTTCTACCTCATTTCAAACTTTTGTCACTTTTTTTTCAGCATTATCATTGCAATGATTATTTACTACTCTAATTATGAAACTTCAAATGATTTTATTATATAGAGTTTTTGGAATAGTACTAAAAAAGCTTATAAAAATCGTAAATTTTATTTTATTTTTACTTTTTTTTTAAAAAAAATATAATCTATCTAACTATTGGTTTAGGACACATGATATTCTGAAATGGTTCATCAACAAATTTTTGAATATTTTTATACAAATATTCTTAATGCACTAATAATAAAGGTTTAGAAGAAAATATAGCTATTGGAATCCAAATATTGAAATGTTTATTTTTAAAATATCAAAACATTGAAATTTTCCTTCTGCTTCTTTTTGAGTAAATATTTTTCCTGGTTCACTTCTTTTAAACGAAAAATGTTGATGTTTTTGAATATCAGATAAATTTTGAAAATAAGGTTTTAAAAATGATTTAAAATCATAATATAACTATCCATTTTCATTATTATAGTGAATAGTATGATTAGAATTATTTTTAGTAGACTTTTTTACTATCTTTTCAATATCATCTATTGTATTAACTCGCATTTTTCGAAAAAAAGCTTTAATATTACCAAAATATCCATCTGTAAAAATTTTGTGTGCCTCAGAACTATAAAACTAACTTCAATAGTTTTATACATTCCTATCATTGTTAACCAAGACCAAAAAAATAAAGAGAAATTGTTTTTATTTTGAGCTATACAATTATCATAAGTGACTTTTAAATGCTGTTCTCTTTGATAAAGTCTGTTTAAAGTATTAAATATAAGACTAATAGTTGTATTAGCTCCTTTTTCTGTAGAACTATTTGAAAATTCATCTTCACTAATTAAATAATTTAGTTGTTACTTTTCTTTTATATTACATACTCTAAAAATATGTATCGCAAATGCTGTTTTGAAGTAAATTTGTCTAACTTGCTGTGATGAAAAAGAAATAAGAACATTCTGTGCCCAATTATAACAAATGTGAACTATTTCTTTAGATATATTACTAGTTATAATATTAATATAATATTGATGCTCCTTTTTTGCTTTATCTTGATGATTTTTCAAATTCAATGCTGTTTCATTTTTTTTATCAATATTTTTTGCATATTGAATATTTTTTTTTAATATTTTACATTTATCACATAAATCTGTACCAAATGTTATAAATTTAATATGTATTGTGAGATTTTTCCAAAGTCGAACAAAGCTTTTATATGATATAATTGAAATGCCATTATCTAATTCTTTACTAACTGCAACAAAATCTTCATATACATTAGCATAGTTTTTTTAGTAGGTAATAAAATAACTACTAAAGAATCAGTTTGTATATGATAGCTTGGTAAGGAAAATCCATAAAAATTTGCATAATTAATAATAAAATTATAAATTTCAGTTGATAATTTTTGATTGATTGTAACTTGTGATGCTACTTTAGAAAGATTTTTTGTATTTTCATGTTGACATCCTATTAGTCCTTCAGTTAATAAATGATTTTTAACTGCTTTTAAAATGCTATTTGAAATTTCAACAAGTTTAAGATAAATGTTTTTACATAAAGAAATTTTAGAATTAAAATGATAATCAAAAATTTTTCTATTTTTGTGACTATTAACTATTTTTTCATTATTAGAAAAAACTAATAATTGACCTATTAAAACAAAATCTAACTGTGCTTTTTCTAAACTTTAAAATTCCAAATGTCTTTTAAGAAAAGCTTTAAACCCAACTTTTTCAAAATATTTTTCTTTTTTGTTATAACAAGTACAAATAGCAGAAGAAAAAAATTGTTGTAAATCATTAATAACTATATATATAAGTTCGTTATCTTCATATTATTCTAAAGAAGTATGTTCAATGGAAAGAAAAAAATTTCTTTATCATTATTATTATTAAAGTTAAACATGGTAGGATAAAAGTTTATTGTATCTGACAAACAAACAATTTTGAAATTGATTGATATACTGCATTTTATGCTAAAAATAAACTAAAATTCAGGGGTTAAAAAATAAGGTAATT